CGTGGGCAGCGGGCCAGCGCTCAGGCAGTCTCTAGGGAGGGCAGAAGTCTGTGAAGTAGGGGTGCTGTAGAGCCTCCTCTGCTGATATTCGCTGCACGGGGTTGCACTTGAGCAGGTTCTGAGGGCAGCAAAAGAAGGGAAGTGAGGTCAAGGAGGGGACGAGCCCCGGGCTCTCCCTGCCCCGCAACCTCACGGCGGACAGCCCAGAAACAGGCCTGGAGCCTAAAGGAGCCTGTGGGTTGGAGAGACACGGCAACCTTTCCCTCCGTGGGCACTGGGGTTCCCAGAGCGGCCTGGCCTCACAGCTCCCCCATCCACGTCAGCAGGGAGAAGGGAGGATCGGCTGCTCGTACCCTACAAACGGCACAGCAGCGACGCTGGGTACGAGGCAGCCTAGAGACCACGGGGAGAGACGTCAACCACTTTAAGAAGTAAAGAATCCTTCTCCCTCCTCTGAAATCGTTGCCCAGCCACCTGCACAGAGAGCAGTGACGGACAAGAGAGAACGCTCACCTGCAGCAGGTCCCGGCCAGTCGCGTTCAGCTTAGGTACCACGTTCACCAGAGACGTCGTGGCAGGGTACATGGGGTACGGCTGGGGAGGGAAAGACATGAGCCCTGGGTGCTGGGCCTGCCACGCTGTCCCCTCCTTCCACCGTCACCTGCGGCTCACCTGTGGCAGCTTGGCCATCGCGGGCCACTGCTCCTCTGTGGGGGTTCCCAGCAGCGTAGGGACAGAAGCAGTCAAGGGCCACCTCTCTAGCCTGCTCCTTGGAGCCTCTTCAGCCAAAGGAAGCAACCTCTGCTCCAGCCACGAGAGCAGAACGCCCAGTTCCCACACCTGCAGGAGTCCTTCTAGCCCCAGCCAGAGAGACCTGCGCTCCCGGGCGAGCACACGTAATCCTATCAGAGTTCTCCTCCTGCAGCCATGCGCAGGAGAATTAGGCGGCCCCTTTCTCCCACTACAACCCCAACCGCAGCACCAAAAGGATATCGGAAAATCCTTTTCAGCTGGTCGTCTACGTCATTCCCCGGGAACAGTGGCCGCCCAGCATTAGCCAGCTCTAGGAAAGGAGAGAGACAGGATAAGCCCTGGAGGCCCTACAGCCCTATTCCCCTTGCGGGACAGAACCCCCCGCAACAGGAAAAGCCTGGCCCAGCTACCTGCAAAGATGCAGCCAGCTGACCACATGTCTATGGAAGTGGAGTAGAGCTTGGCGCCGAAGAGCACATCTGGCGGCCGATACCACAGAGTGACGACCTACACAGAGGCACAGAGACGAGGACTGCGTTTCCCCATTGATCTGCGGGTGCTTCCACACGCGCCAGCCCTATCAGCCCTCGAGTCCAGCAAAAGCTAGACGGCAAAGAAAGCAGAAAGCTTTCTGTAACAGAAAGCAAGTCCCTTCAGCAGCCGGTACGTGAAAGCCTGTAAATGAGAGCGCACACCTGAGCGCGATGCCTCAGCCTGTGCAACGCCACAGTTTGGTTCTTGTAATGAGCTCCTGATAGTCCTAGGTGTAGTAGCTAGCGCAGGAAAAACACTACCCAAGCTGCCCAGGCACGTAGCCCAACAGCTAGCGCGAGAAGAGCAAGTCTCCTAGAGCTTGGACTACCAGAGAAAGGCAGAGCAGGCCCAAGGACAGCACGAGGAGCACCACACTGCGAGGAAGAGGGAAAGTTGCACTAGAGGAGCAGCGAAGCAGTGTTGACCATTCAGCCAACACAGCCCCAAGGATGACGCTGCGCTGCAAGCAACAGGGGAGCTGCTCAGAGAGGTGGGGGCTATGAAATGCTCCTGGAGGTAAAAGCCTACAATGAAAATCCCACAGAGCTCCCAACTCACCTCTGCTGAGTAACAGCGCACAGGGATGCCAAAGGCCCGGGCCAAGCCAAAGTCAGCCAGTTTGAGTTCCCCATTCTGCAGTGAAAAGACAGCATCAGCAGGGCTTCATAGGAGATGCTCAGTCCCTGCTGCATGCCTTGGAGTCTGCAGCAGCTACTGTTCCAGACCCCTCTTCCTTTTTCACTGACCAAAAAGATAACACAGAACAAGACAGAAGTGCAATCTCCCGAGAGCCACGTGCTCCCCCGGTGAAACGTCCTCCTCGGTTCAGCCAGGACGTCTCGTGCCCAAGCGTGCAGCCCGTACTGTGATCCGCTCCCCTTACCCCCACCCCTGACCCAGTCACTCACTCTGTTAATGAGAAGGTTCTGGGGCTTGAGGTCTCTGTGCAAGACGTTGCGGCTGTGGCAGAAAGCAAGCCCCTTCAAGAGCTGGTACATGAAAGACTGCAGAAGAGACCACAGACCGGAGCAGGACTCGTCAGCCCGTGCAACGCCCCAGTCTGACTTGCGTAAAGAGCTCGATAGTCCTAAATGTGGCAGCTAGCACAGGGAAAGCATCATTCTCTCCCAAGGGCTTCCCAGAGCCTCTCGCCGAAACACACCTTGACGATCTCTGGATCCAAGTCCCCGTTGCAGCTATCGAAGTACTTCTTCAGGTCCTAGGAAGGCGAAAGCAACGTCCGCGTGAG